TATTATTATCAAATCGTATGAATAGAGATAAAGAAAAAATAAAGGATTTTTTTTTGTTGTTGGAAGGAAAGGGATGTTTAAGGAAAGGCATATAAAAATAGGCAAAAAAATTTTGGGAGGCAATCCCTTGTAGTGTTGTGTTGCCTAATCAAATTTTTTTTTATAAAAAAAACGGAAATACAGATAATATATTTACTAATTTATGTGACTATAATTATTAATAGTTTTTTTGTTGTTGCATACAAATACAAAACTTTATAATATTTAACACTACTATTCACACAAAAAAAATATATAAATTCAATGGTTAGTACTGTAATATAAAGGGGACAATAATAGACAAAAAAAATAATTTATTATTATTATTATTATCTTATTTATTAAGTACTCTCTCTCTCTCTCTCTCTCTCTCTCTCTCTCACTCACTCACTCACTCTTTAGTAGTTTTTATGTGTTGAATCACTAGTGGGTGAGTGGGTGAGTGAGTGATTAAGACAAATGAGAAACACATTTTAAATAATAATAATTTTTTTTTTTTAAAATAAAACTTTTTATAAATAAATATTTTAGACCAAAATTTATTGGCTGTTATTTGCGGCACATATTATTTTTTTTCAACAAGTAAATAAATTTATAAATTATCTGAAAAACATAATAATGATAATAAATGTTTATTAATTGAGTTAATTAATTAAGTAATAATATTAATAATAATAATAATAACTGATACACATATTTAAATAATTATTTTTTTATATTGAGTTTATTAAAATGTCATAAAAATGAGATTACAAATCAACAAAAAATAAAATAAAAAAAACAAAATATAATTAAAATTTTCTCACAACTTAGTAATTGATATATAATTTATTATTAATTTTTTAAAATACTTATTATATATATAAATCAATAGTAACCCCCCTTATAGCACCCAGAGGGTGGCTGTTAGACACCCCCCGGGTGACAGGTGTGCTAAATTAATTGTATTTAATATTATTATAATTTTAGGGGATAAAGTGATCGTAAAAATTTAATGTAATAATAATAATAATAATAATAATAAAATTGAAACAAACATTTTGCATAATAATTATTATTATTATTCAAATCCCAAAAAATATTTTTTTTTGAAAAAATATTTTTAAACATTTGCTGTTTGAAAGTGTGTGTCAATAAAGCAGTTCAATGATAGACAGGCCTTATGTGTTGTTGTTGTTGTTGTTGTCGTTGTTGTCCTCATAACAAATGTCACATAAAATTCATATGAAACACAATTTATATGTATTTTATTTTTATGTATAAATTCCTGAAAATCTCAACAACAAAACAAACTAACACTTAGACAGCACATACACACACACACATTGAGAGAGAGAGAGAGAGAGAGAGAGAAAGAAAGAAAGAAAGAGAGAAAGAAAGAGAGAGAGAGAGAAAGTAAAACTTTATTTATAAAATTTATTGTAAGTTATTTAAGTTTCATATAATAAAATGACTTTAAAATATAATATATATATACAGTATATATATATGTTAGTAACTGTGTGTGTGTTTTATGGTATAACTTAGTTAAATGCAATTTATTGAAATAATGATAATAAAATTGCTTTTAAAAATTGTATACAAAAAGTTTTATAGATATATATATAAATTTATATACCGTATATATACTGTATATATATTGTAAAATGTATGAGTTTTATAGCCGTTTTGCACTTTATACACACAAACACATAGAAAAATGTGACACAAAATTAAAATTTATGTATCATTTAAAGTCTTGTCGTCTGAATATAATCGTCTATTACTGTAGAGAGAGAGAGAGAGAGAGAGAGAGAGAGAGAGAGAGAGAGAGAGAGAGAGAGAGAGAGAGGTTAGCTTTTCAAGCACTGGTATTTCATGATAGAGAGAGAGAGAGAGAGAGAGAGAGAGAGATTGAGCTCATGAAAGACCCTTTTTCTTCATCATCTGATGTGAAATAAAATGTTTTTCGAGAAATATTTCACTGATATGTGAATCACACAACAAAAATGACTTGAAATATGATGCCATGTCTTGTAGTTAACAGATAGAGAGGGAGAGAGAGAGAGAGAGAGAGAGAGAGAGAGAGAAAGGGCCTTATAATTAACATTCATTAAGATTTCACTTATCTTTTATAATGCTATGTATTTATATATACACTCTGTATAATACAGTGTATATATTGTACATAAAAATTTCATAGATTTTAACACAAAAATATTTGTTTCAAAAATATTTTACAGATGAGAGAGAGAGAGAGAGAGAGAGAGAGAGAGAGAGAGTCTAACAAAAATCACATGAAATGCTACATAAAATAATTAGAGGAATGCTTTTAAAATAAATGAATGACTGACTGAATGAAAGCATTTTTTATATGTATTTTTATTTTAATTTATTTTTATCACTCTTTTCTTATTATTATTATTATTATATACTGTATTATTTTGTGTAGCAATTTATTTGCAATTATTTTTGCAATGCATGTAAATTACTCACTCTTTCTCTATCTATCTCAAACACACACACATATATATACATACACACAACACACATAAATACACATAACACACACACATACATACATATGCACACATACATACACATAAGTTATGTTACATAACACACACACACACACACACACACATACATACATACACACAACACACATACATTCACATAACACACACACACATACATACATACATACATACATACATACATACATACATACATACATACATACATACATACATACATACATACATACATACACACACACACACACACACACACACATACATACATACATACATACATACATACATACATACATACATACATACATACATACATACATACATACATACATACATACACACACACACACATACATACACACACACACATACATATTAACACACAGTTTTTTAAAACCAAATTTATAATTACTGTTGACATTTATATTTGGTTTTTTTTATTTGGTTGGGTAATTGTCGCTTAAAATAAATAAATAAACTATTTTATTATTGCAATGTATTTTTTTTGGTAACTATCAATTTTGTTCAACTGTCAAGACATTAATAAATTGATGGCAATATTTTATTTTTATTTTATTTTCTTAAATTTTTTTTTATATATATATACTGTATATACCCCTAAACTTATTTAGGATTATAATATAAATATATATATAGTTATAGTAGTAATATATCATGTAATAAGTGTGATGTGTTTTTTAACGCCAAACTAATTTTTTTATATTGTATTTTTAGCTACCGTTCCCATTCAATATTGTATATAACTTTATATATATATATATATATATATATATAACGGTAAATTATATCATAACTTCATTGCTTATAAATTTTATATACAATATATATATATATACCTATAGAAAAATATACTGTAATTTTATTGTAGACATCAAATAAATAAAAAAAAACTATATATTATCTAATGATTAAGTTTCTCTATATAGACTATATATAAAATATATTATATATGATATATGTTTAATAAGTGTTTAATAATTGACTACAAATGTGTGTATAAGTGTTTTTTTATTATTATTATTATTTAAAATCTACTGATTAGATATTTATTGCATTTATACTATAATAAAGAGGCTTTACTGTGGTTTTTCATAAATAAAAAAAAGATTAATAATAATATTAAATGATAATAAAATAAAATAAATTGATTCATATGTCGCCACAAATATATCAATATATATATTAAATATAATACTATAATAACTCAATAATCAATTACTTAACAAAAAATCTTATTTATCAAAACGATTTCCTATATATATATATATATCAATATATATATATTAATATACTATATATTGATATTAAGTTTTTTATAATATATTTTTTTAAAATATTATAATATAATAAATATAACAAAATATGTAACATTTAAAGTATTTTTCAAAAAAAATATTATTTTTCAATCATTTATGGCTTATCATTATATATATATATAAACATTTTTTTAATTGCAATAATATTATCTTTATTTTTTATTAATATAATTTTTACTAATAATAAATAAAATATTAATTAAAAATTTTATTAATTATTTTTATTACTAACCAAATATTTTGGTGTTAGAAATAGTTTTTTAGTAAAATATTATAGAAATGAAATAAAAAATGCAAATGTTTTTATTTTTAACAAAAAAATGTTTTTTTTTATTTTTTAATTCAATTGTCAATTTAATAAATTTTTTTTTTCAATTAATATTATTATCATATAATAATAGTTATTATTATTATTATTAAAAAATCAAATATAATTTAATTGGAGAAAAAAACTTTCACATATAACATACATTACAATTTGTATCAATAGATTTCTGGTTTAAAACTTATTTATTTATATATATATTTAATTAATTAATTAATTTGGTTTTTTTGTTGTTGTTTTTTTATATAAAGAAATTATTATTTAGTAGTAATAATAATAATATAAATTTAATTTTAGTTCAATTAAATAAATATATATATATATATAAACATGTTTTTTTTTTGTTGAAATATTATTACATTTACATGTATTACATAATTTGTTGTTATATTATTATTATAATAATTATTAAACATCAAAAATCTTAATTAATTTTAATAATAATAATAATTATTATTATTATGTAATTGTTTTTTGAACTAAAAATAAAAATAAAAATCTGTAATCAATCGCACAATTTTGTTTGTTTGTTTTTTTGTAGTAAATTTTTAATTTATATATCAATAATAAATATATATATATATATATTTAATATATATATATATATAAACAATAATAATTACATTTTTTTCCATAAATATATTTATAAAGAAATAATTATAATAATTTGATATTTATATATATATATATTGTATATTATTATTAATTTATTTTTTATATATATATATAGTTTCGTTGAGATAATAATCAAAAACAAAACAAAAAATGTTTTACACAAATCTAATAATAATAATAATAATAATCTAAGTGTCTGTCCCCATGGGTTAGGGATGAACGGGTGGTCCGATTCTACCGGAATACAGTCCGTACGGGTAATACATACTCAGTGCGGCCGCCGCTGTTGCCGACGAATGTTGCAGTGGATTACCGCCGCCGACGCCGCCGCCCAACTGGGGAACGCCAGCGGCTATGGAAGGCATTGAACCCAAACCGGGAATCACTGTCGGTTTGTACGGATGAAATCGGCTGCTCAGCGGCGACAAACTAGTCGGATATGTACGCCGCAGACCACCAACACCACCGGCGCCGCTGCCGACTGAGGTCAACGATGTCGGCGGCGGCAGCGGCGACGGCTGCAGAGCACCGGCAGTCGAATAGTGCATATGTTGAGCGAGACTTAGACTGGAGTTTAGCGACGCCGACGACGACATCATCGATGGCACACTAGTGATGGCCGCCGACGAGTCGACACTCGAGGCAGAGGCCGACGTATGTGTCCGCAAATGATTCAGCAGTTCCTCGGATGTCGAAAATCGTTTGCCGCAGTGCTGGTCGCCGGCTATCCAATTGCAGACATTTGTATTGCTTTGGTTGTGGTGTTGTTGTTGTTGTTGTTGGTGTTGTTGCTGTCGTTGTTGGTGTTGTTGCTGCTGTTGTTGTTGTTGCTGTTGCTGTTGGTGGTGATGGTGTTGTTGTTGGGCGGCAGCGACAGCTGCCAGTCCCGGATGGTATAGACTCGGATACATTTGACTCAGACTGGGTAGTAGTGCGGGATTCAGTTGCGAGTAGGCCAGCGACGACATCAGTCGCTGATGATCGCATTGATTGCACCCGTTAGGACACGTGGCCGGCGAACACGTGTTGGCCGCTGCAGCTGCAGCGGCCGAAGCCAATAGGGCAGCATTTTGCAGTGCCGACAGCTGACAGGTGCCCGTACAGTACGGATCGCCGCACATGGGCATCATTGGCTGACCAACAGGTCCGCCGACACCGTTGGCCGCTTTCATACGGCCGTAAACACTGAGCGGCGGATAGATTGACGGATAGGCTCCGGTCTTGTCCACTGTCAACGGCGGCGGCAAACCGTTTACCGTTGGCGGACAGCAATTAGTACTTGAATAGGGATTTGTTTTATACATTTGTTGTAACGATTGCAACGGTTCCTTATGTTTGCCGATACCGTCTAAACGCATGTCAGGCATACCTATTGACGTATAGCTTAGAGCACTGGACGTCGGTGTCGGCGTCCGACGTTTGGTACCGCCGTTTGGTGTACCGTTCGATGACGACGACGTACTTTTCGGCGAATGTGACTCATGTTGTTTATGGTTCAGATGACCACCGTTTTTGTGATGATGGCCACCATCCATATGGTTGTTTGACGGCGTATTTTTACCGCTACCGGTGCCGCTGTTGTTGTTGTTGTTCAACGGTGAGCTTCGGGAGTGATTACTGCCCACACTTTTCGGTGACGGCGACACTTTCATCGACGAATTGGGTGTCCGTTTTCCGCCGCCGATCATTAGATCATTGATATTATTATAGTCACTATTAATCAAATAATTATTATTATTATTATTTGTCGTCTTCTTGTTGTTGTTGCTATTGTTTGATGAGATATCGTATGGTTTGAACGACAACTTTGCCGCCGATGACGTACCCGACGGTGTCGGTGTCCGCGCCGTCGTTGTCGATGCGTTAATGGTATGATTGCTTAGACTATTGTTGCTATTGTTGTCATCGGTGTTCAGGCCATTGACTAGACTGTTAACCGATGCTGAAGAGCCACCACTACTACTACTACTGCCGTTACTTTTTTTCCGATCACTACTACCACCACCACTACCACCGGAGCCGTGATTATTGTGATCGGATTTTTTTGTATCCGACAATATCAATGGTTTATTGTTTGGTGAGTCCAGTCCTATACTGGAACAGGTCTTAGCCAACAAAACCAATGGACTTTTGTTTGCGTCCAACTGTTTGTATTAAACAAAACAAAAAAAATATTATAAGATATAATTTTTTTTTTTGAATATATTTATTTCAATAATAATATTAAAATTTTATATTAATTAAGATAAATGTTAAGATATATATTATAAAAATTGTTTTGTGAAATCATAAAAATCATATTTTTTTATTATTAAAATTATTATTGAATTTATTTTTTCTGTTATTCAGTTACAAGTTTTTTACAGTGAATTTTTTTATTGGGGAGTTTTTATTGACTAAATTGCATGCAATTTCACTATAAAATTATATGTATGTATATATATCCTAAACTTTTTTATATACTATATATATATATATATATTTATTATATATTTGTTTATTAATTTAATACATAAATTAAAAGCCGACATAAGATTTCTTGACGCAACCAACCAACAAAAAAATAGTCATATATTTTATTACAAATACAACAACGACTGTCTTTTATATATATATATATGTGATATTTATATGGCTTTTATATATACTGTATATATGGGTAAACATTATATTTACTTAAAAGCAAATTTGGTGCTGAAATCACTATTTCTCTCTCTCTCTCTCTCTCTCTCTCTCTCTATGTTTTTCGCCGCCTGAAAGACCTGTCTGTTTGCGGCCATAAATATATATATATTTCCTTTTAATACTCCCTATTCATCCTAAAAGTTATTATTATTATTATTATTATTTATACTACAGTACAGTGTTGTGACAATAAATACAAAAATTATTGCTTATATTAATATCTATATATATATATTAATATGTAGTCAGCAAATAATTTTATTTATATATATAAATTTATATTATACACCTATATAAATAAATTTATATCTTTACAATATATATATATATGTAACGGTATATACATAGATATATATATATATATATATATAAATTATTTTATTACCGCTTTATATAAATTTATATATATGTATATAAATATAATAATAATAATAATTCTTTTACACTTATAATAAATATATGGTGTGTTTGTTATCAACAAAAATATTTTTTTGATGTTTTATTATTATGACTATATATATAGTAAATAAGGTGTATATATCTATAGTTATATAACGTATAAAAATTTTATTATTGATATGTTTAGTATGAAAGAGAGAGAGAGAGAGAGAGAGAGAGAGAGAGAGAGAGAGAGAGAGGACATAGATGTTAACAAAAATCATATAACGGTGTGTATTGTGTATAATATATTTAATATAATAATAATTTATAGCCATTATTACTAATAAATTAATCGCTAGTCTCACACTCAGCTATTATACACATAAATATAAAGGGATGGGTGGGTGAGTGTGTGTGTGTGTGTGTGTCGACAATAAATGAGTGAATAGCCGATAGAAATATTATTTTTTATTATATATATATATTGAAAAAATGTATGTATTTTATGCCTAAATAATTTATTGCATATATTTTTCATAATAACAACATTAATAATATTTATAAAAAATAAAGAGAGAGAGAGAGAGAGAGAGAGAGAGAGAGAGAGAGAGAGAGAGTCTTTAATCATAATAAATAAAGACATTTTTCAAATATGTATTGTAAAATAAATTTTTTTCATTACAATTAAATATAACGATAGGAGAGAGAGAGAGAGAGAGAGAGAGAAATTAAAATTTATAAAAAATTATTATATTATTAATGTATATAATAATTAACTAAAAGCAATGATAAAAGTCAAAGACTTTTTAATTAATCATTAAATTTATTATTATATTTTTTAAAAAATAAATTTATTATTATTATTATGAATTCATGTGTTCAAGTAATTTAAAATTGAATTTATTGCTGATATTATTATTATTTTGATGATTATTATTATTATTAATGCAATAATCGTTAAAATGAATCATTTTTACTCTTATATCTGTATATTATATCGTCAAATGGTATATACTTTTAAAATTATTATTATTATTATTATTATTTATATTAATATCATTATTATAATTATAATGTTTATCATATCATATATAATATATTATATTAACACATATGGTGTGTGTGTGTATATAAATATATTATGAAATTTTGTGTTAAGAGAGAGAGAGAAAAAAAACGGTTGCAAAATATAATGTCATTTAATATAATGAGAGTATAGATACTATATATGCAATTATTTATATATACAGTATATAGATATCATATAAAATTTTTAACAAATTTTTCATATCTATATTATACATCCCAACTATTATATATATATATAATATATTAGTATTTTTCACTAATTTATAAATTGCATGCAATTAATATTGTATATTACAGTATATACAATAATTATATAGTAATAGATAGAAATAGCAATATATATATATATATATATATCGTAATTAGTTTTATTAATATATGATATCTAATTAAATTATATAGATATATATATATAATATTAGTTATATATATATATATATTTAGAAAATTTTTTGTTAATGTATAAGTGCTGTACAAACATAACTAATATATATATATATATATATAATATAATATATTTTTATTATTATTGTTTTATTAATTTATTTATTTATATACTTATTGTCTATATTTTTATTATTATTATTATTATTATAGAGATACCGTACACAGACACACATATTTACGGTACTACTAATAATAATTAAAATTATAAAAAAAAATACTGATTGCTATTAAGTTATATATATATTGTATACAAAATTTTTATTTGCATTGATGTGATTGGAAAACTTGCAAATAATAATAATCATAAAAAATATTTGATAATAATAGTAATAATAATAATTTCTTATTTTATATTAAACCAAAAGTGACAATAGATATGATGGAAACCACAATAATATTGTAATAAAAAAATAATAATATATAAAGTAATATAATAATAATACTAATAATAAATGGCATTTTATTTATAATAAGGAAATTATAATATTATTTTTTTGTTGTTGTATGTGATTTATACTGTAAATTTGTACTTTATATTTGATATGACGATGAAATGTTAATAAATAATTTAATAATACTAATAATAATAAAAATCATAATATATATAAAAAAATTTAGATTTTTTTTATTTGCTAAGTGTGTGTGTGATATATATAATATATATATATATATATATATATATATATATATATATGTTATAAACATTTTTTTAATATGTTTTTTGTAGTGAAACATATATATATATAGTAATATTTTTAGACTAATAGAGTATAATAACTAATTTTTATTTTATTAATTAATTGACTAAAAATTAGATACGACTTTATATATATATGTAGTAAAAAAAATGTGTTATAAAATTTGTGGTAATTTATATATATATATATATATATTTATATATGTCAGACAACTTGATAATATAATTATAGCTATCATCTAATTATTAAATCAAATAAAAAACATTTATATATATATATATAATATATTTTATGTTTCTCATTAATAATGTTTGTACAGTATATATACAGTATATATATATATATACTGTATATATATATATATACACTGATAGTAAATAAATTTATGTCACTGTTTCATAAATTTTGGTTTAAATTTTGAAATATCTATAGTTTTTTAATATTTTATTTTAAATTATACAGTAAGAGCACAAAAAAAGTCGTAAAAATTATTAGTTAATAATCATATCATAAAAATATTTATTATATATACTGTATATTACAAAAAAAAATTATTTGTACTGTATTTATGATATAAACACTTATAAATTATATATATATATATATATATATATATATATATATATATATATATATATATATATATATATATTAAATATTAATAAAATAGTTTTAGGCTTTTATATATATACACAGTATATATATATATGTTTAATGTATTATTAATGTATTTAAAATATATACATACAGTAATAATATTAATAATTTATAAATAGTTTATTAATTATTTATGAGAGACATTATTGAACACACATATTATTATTATTATTTTACTTTAATATTGTATTAGTTATTAATATTGATTATAATTTTTAATTAGCAAAACACACACTCATACACATACATATCAATCAATCAATAGATAGATAAATGACAAATTTATTTAGGATATCATTTATTAACTATAATATATTAATTTATTATTATTATTATTAAATATACAATTGGTTTGTATGTCTTTATGTTGTGAATTAAGACATATATGATTTAATTATATTAATATATATATATATATATATATATATATTAGCAATTGATAGACAACTTAACTTAAAATATAACTAACTGTATGTTTTAGTTTATTTGATATTATAATATATAGATAAAAATTAAATACAATATACTATTAAAATCTATATATACATAGTATATATATATATATATATAAACATTTTTATAGGATTTTATTTTATTTTAAAAATAACATGAATAGTAATACTAATACTAATAATATTGAAATTTATGCTATTTTTAATGATTAAGACAAATTTGTTTTGCATATCATTTCTAGATAAAAATAAAATAGTTATTAATAAAAATCTAAACTATTTCAATAAATGACTTTTAAAAATATTTTTAACTGTTTTTTTGTTGTTGTTTATTTATTATCATTTATTATTATACAATAATTTTTTTTGCCGTTATTGTTATAATATGTTAGTTATTGAATATATCATATGTTGTTGTTGTTGTTATAATTGAAAAACAAATTATATATTTAATATTATTAACATTTTTTTTCAAGTAATGTATAAAAATATATATATATAAAAAGATTATAAAATATTAAATTACAAAAATAATTGCACTCTTATGGGTATAATAATAATAATTATTAATTTATATATATATTTAAAAAAGTCATATAATTTTGTTTTATAATATATTTAATGACTATTTTTTATACAGTATATACAGCTTTACTAATAAAAATGCCGTGATTTGACTAAAAAAATTTATTTTAAACACCAAAATAATATATATATATATAAAGTAGTCACACATTTTTATTATCTATTTATTAATGATATAAACTTTTTATATATATTATATACAGTCAAATATACTGTATTTAATAAATTATGGCATAAATAATATATGCCTCTCTTTCATCTCTCTCTCTCTCTCTAATAGTAAATAATAAGCGGTACTTATATACTGTATAACCAACAAAAAAATCATACATTATTTTGTATGAATCGCATGAATTTAAGTCATTAATCAATTGCTATACTAGAAAACACTTAATTTTTTTTTATATGTATACTTCAAAGTAAAATATATTAACGTAATATATAGTTGTGTTAGTTATATATAAGTGTTATATACAGTATATATATATTTGTTGCCACATATTATAACATATTTGTGGCCCCAATATATATATATATACAATTTATATAGATATTAAATATATATATATATATAAAACAGGTAATGATTTTTATTTACTGCTCATTAATAATTTGTTTGATGTATTTTGTTTTAATGGGTGAAACAATATTTTTTATATATATATATATATATAAATTTAAGATTTCATTAGAAAGTCGACACCAAAATGTATTACAAACACAAAAAATAATAAAATCACAAATTTTTATGTGTAAACCCTTAAGTATATATAAGTTTATTATTAATGATGAACTAACTAACTAAACAATATTAATATCCAAAAATATATTTTTGTTTAATATAAAGTATTTCATATATATATATATATATATATATATATATATATATATATATATATATAGTATTTATATTATAATTCAAACTATACTTACAGTGGATGGCATTGGCGGCAGATATTCAGGCCTAAGATATTGGTTAGCACTGGATGTCAACATTTTGACATAACTTAGTTGTTTTTGGTCCAGTTTATTAAAATAATGATAATAATAGTTATCCAAAAAATCAATTTTATATATATAGTTTTTAGTCCGGATCAAAAAAAATTGATTTTGTAATTAGTTTTGATATATATATATATATATAGATATATAGTTAGCACATATAGACACTTAAACCGGGACACAGTTGTGTGTGTGTGTGTGGGGAACGGGTGTTATTTTCAAATATACCAGTTCTCTATATACTGTATATATCTACTAAACACACCGCTAAAAAGTTTTGATGATTTTGTAGTATTAATAATAATAATAATACAGTATTATTATTACATTACATGAATATCACACACATATATATATAACAAAATATTTTTGTTGTTAAGTACTGTCGTCTTAAACTATCGACAAGATAGAGAGCACAGGCAGTTATATATATATATATATATGTTTAACGCACTGGTAGGTTATGGCACAGACATATACACATAGGTTAGTATAGACACTGACACTGTAAGTCCTCTCTCTCTCTCTCTCTCTCTTGAAGTGAGTGTTAAACGACAAGTAATACTAGTGTTTTTAAAAGTTGTGTGTTATCTCATCGACAGACTCTCAACACCGACTGACTGACAGTTTTTTTTTGAAAAATGCGGATAAACTCTCTCAGTGTGTATGAGTGACTGATCCCTGAGCTGACTGTGTGTGTGAGTGTATGTGGAATCGACTGTGCGATTACTACTTGTGCGCAGAATAAGCATATTCTGTAATTTACAAAACAGGTTCTCTCTCTCTCTCTCTCTCTCTCTCTCTCTCTCTCTCTCTCTCTCCCAGTTTGTTATCACTAAGTGAAGTGAAAACACGTCGGCTCCTAATGATTGGCACAAATTTGCCGATACTTTTTGGGTGAAAGAGAGAGAGAGAGAGAGAGAGAGAGAGAGAGAGAGAGAGAGAGAGAGAGAGAGAGAGAGAGATGGATACTTAAGAGGCTTTTAGGGCTATATATATCTCTCTCTCTCTCTCTATTTCTCTCAGCTTAAAGGGGAACGACAGCTCTCTATCGGAGCCGGTGTTCCCTATTATCAAATGATCAACAAATATATATATATATATATATATATATATATATAAATTTAAAGTAAAATATAAGTACTGTTTTATTTTGTCTGTCAATTTGTGTGTAAAATATTATTATTATTATTGAAAACTACTTCACATAAAAAAAATTTGAGATAAAATAGCTCTCGAAATATCTATATATATATATATATATATAGTTATATACCTGTAAAACATGACAGCCCTTAATGATGACAAGCGATTTGATTTGTAATTTTGATTTTTTTTATATATATATTATATATATTTTGATTTTGTTGTCTAACTTTTTTTCACTTATAATAAAGTTATTACTCTATTATTATTATTATTTGTATTTTTACGTCTATTACTACTACTACTAGTAATAATAATAATATTTAAAAGTCATTGAAATTTTATTGAAATGTTTTTTATTAAAAATAAATTGTTTAATTACTCTCTTAAAAAATTATACATTAATATAAAAAAAATTAATTATACCGTATATGATATTATATTTCTAGTTTTATTTTTATAACATAAAAATATGGTTTATATTAGTAATAATAATATAGGATATATAATATAATAATTAATTAATATATTATTTATTTTATGTTTTCATATAAAATATGTATAATAAACTGTACTGTAATTATAACAATATTTATTAATTATAATGCAATTATAAAAAATAAAGTTTATATTTAGCAAATTAAATACGTCAACAATAATAACAAAAAAATCTGCAATTAAAAATTTCACAATATTTTTATATACAGTATTATTATAATAATTAATTTTTTTTCAAACATATGGTGTGTTGTAATATTAATATGTTTTTTAAAGTAATAATAATATAGTAATAATTATATAAATTAAGATATATTAATTAATTTATATATATATATTCAATATATATATATAGAGGAAAAAATAAAAATTTATTTATTTAAATTTTGTTTAACAAAAAAATTGAACTCAATTTTATCTATTATATTAGTTTTAATTTATTTTTTTATATCAATTAATAATTAAATATCTTTCAGCCATAATAATAATAATTATTACAAAAAACTTTCAATAACTAACAAATAATAATAATTAAATAAATAAATAAATAAATACATAATAAATACATAATAAATTGTTAGTAATTAGTGTTGAAAAGTTGCTTTTTTTGTTAAATATCAATAATAAATTTTTGTATTATATAAAAAATAAAATAAAAGTAAAATAAAACATTTTTTTAAGAAAATAAATATATAAAACAAATTGTTGAATAATTTGTTGCTAACTAAACCTTTAATATACATACAGTGTATATATATATATATATATATATATACTGTATATTAAGCGCTAAATGTTGTTATTTTGTGGCACAAATGGGGTTAAATTATTTAGTTATTTTTGAATAATAATTTTATTTTATTTTTTTGAGAGTAATATATATATATATAAAATAGTTATAAGAGTGACGCCGCCACTGCCGACCCTGTGCTCAAATAATACCGGTATATATAATATACAGACTGTATAATACCAGTGCCCAGAATCACTGCTACCAACCGGTGCTACCAATATATATCTGCCGGTGCGCCTGGTATTGGAGGCACCAGTTATTTAAGCAGCGATTTATAAATGAGAGGCATTAGAGGGGGTCTCCCTATCTCTCTCTCTCTCTCTCTCTCTCTCTCTCTCTCTCTCTCTCTATCGTCGACTACATGACTGGCTGCCAACAAAACAGTTTAACACTCACTCACTCACTCACTCACTCACACACACACACACACACACACACACACACACACAACCACTCAATCAAATGTGTCAGAAATGCCAATCACTGAGTGATTTATATGTCATCTCTCAATGAAGATGATTGGCTATGACTTGACTATTGAATTGATAGACATTTTATTTTATGTTATTTTTGAAACACAGCGGATAAACATTTAATAATGATTTTTTGTTGTGTATTAATACTGTAAAGTAGTATTAGAGTGAGTGGTGGGGGGGGGGGGTTCTTGAGTTGATAAGCACCCGGCTGTATGGATAGTATGCAAATTAGGACACTTTTTTGAACTGACTGTTCATAAAATCCATTCATCCATACCATACCATACCCTATCCTACCCTACCATACCATACCCTATCCTATCCTATCCTACCATACCATACCATACCATAGCATACCCTATCCTACCATACCATCCAATTGTAATGTGTCTGTATATTGCAATGACTGATTGTGTTGCTAATGATTAACAACACATACATAACTAGTTTTTTATTTAAAAAAAAAAATTTTTTTTGTCGATTATTTGTTAGTTTATATCTTGCGGTGATTTCATATATACATAGTATGTATTACATACATACAGTACTTACTGAGAGTATATATCTTATATAGTCATCAATTGCCTAAAACAGCACATCATTTAATTTGAAAAATAAAACATTTTTTTCAGTACTTATAAATTGAAAACCAGTTTTCTATAATAATATCAATGAATTTTATTTTAATTTTCTTAATTAATTAATCATCAGTTATTAGTAGTTATTAGTATTAATTTTATTTTATTATAAATAACCTAAATATATGTTTGAATGAATGAATATTATTATTATTATTAGTTAATGTATTTATTATGTAATTAATCGTCCAATTAATTAAAAAAAAGTTTTTATATGATTTTTTTGCTGTTGATTAAAAAACTGTTTATAAATATATGATATATATATATATATATATAGAGTGTATTAAATATCATTAAAATAAATGATAATAATTTTTTAAAAAGTTTTTAATCACACATTTTTTTGCAGCACTTTATATATCATTTACATTACTACAGCTACTTATTATTTTTTTATGTATAGTTTAGGTGTTTTAAAAAAAATGGTTAGGCCTTAAAACATACAGGAGCTCAAAAAAATGCCAACTACTACTACTAGTAGTCACAGATACAGTACATTATGATAGAGAGAGAGAGAGAGAGAGAGAGAGAGAGAGAGAGAGAGAGAGACGATGGTATAGTAATTATTAGTAATTATAATGTGTATGTATTAATTGGGTGTAAAATAATACAGAGATATGCAGTCTAATAGATAGGTATGTTAGATATCCAGGTATGTTAGATAGCTATATATATATATATATATATATATTAAGTACAGTCCTAATGGCTTGTAATGAAACGGTAGTCTACGACTACTAACTACTACTGTACAGCAAAAATTGATAACCTAATGGCAAATTAGTTACAGTATATGAATCCCCCCTCCCGTTGTTGGCGGCGTCGGTACATCATCACTATGTATGTATGTCCACCTTCTCATACTTTTTATTTTGTGGACAGACAGGCAATTAGATAGAGGGCGAGTGAGGACAGCCAGCAAAAAAAAATAATCGTGTGTAGGCAGAGGCGCGCGGGTAATGTATATGGCAATAGGGAAAGGGATCTTATTATACCAGTATATGTACCAATACACTTAAGGTTTAAGGATATGCCATACAAATTGTTTGAGAGATTGTTGTTTTGTTTGCTATTTTCTTTCAGCTGTCAAAAAAACTATTCAAAAAAGTGTATAATCTCTGACATGTCTTGTCAGTGTATGTATGTATGTATGTATGTGTGTGTGTGTGTGTGTATATATATATGTGTGTGTATGTATGTGTGTGTATGTGTGTGTATGTTTGTGTATGTGTGTGTATGTGTGTGTATGTGTGTGTGTATGTGTGTGTATGTGTGTGTATGTGTGTGTATGTGTGTGTATGTGTATATATATATGTGTGTGTGTGTGTGTGTGTGTGTGTGTGTCTGTAAATATATAAGAAAGGTTGATGTATCGGTAGAGATCAAACACATTCACACACACCCGGTAACTGTATGTATGCTCTTTGATAAAACTAAAACTTCAGAGTCAATCATCAACTCTCTCTCTCTCTCTCTCTCTCTCTCTCTCTCTCTCTCTCTCTCTCATCT